CCCCCGAATTTAGCGAAATTAACGACCCGACTACCCTTAATTTGCAGAACGAAACTATTATAATTTGCCCAGCTGTAAAAAAGATGTTCACTATTGAGAGTATATTGGATATTTTACCAGTCCCAAAAGGTCTAGTTCTGGGTATCTAAAAGCGCTTGCTGGGGACTGTTCTCTTATGGGGGTTGACCCGCTTCATTTTGTACGAAATTTTGATGGATTTCTGCCTGTGGGGATTATGATTGGTTTTTGAGGTCAGTATGAGGGCAGGAAAGTCATTCTCAACCCGGGCATGCAAGCACTGCTTTATCGTCCCACAGTGTGAGGCTTTGGGCGGCAAGTTGCAGTTGTTGCATGGCCCCTAGTGTGGCGAATCCATCTTGGTGCTTGTAAACATGGGCTTCGCTGCCAATACTGCCAGAAACCCTGAAGACTCAAATCCTCAGCCCTAGTCCCAACGACCTTGTCCACCAATTGGCTTGTATGCGTACACAACATATTCCCTACGAAGTTCCCTCGTGATGCTCTTATGCTCCTAACAAATCACTTGGTAATTCCTAGGCAACTGCCATCCTGCCCTCAAAGGACCATGCGCACCAGGAGTCCCAAATCCAAAGCAGTAAAATGTGAAGCCCGAGCCCTGAACTCAGACCTTAGATCTTGAACACTCACCCTAAACCACCCCCCCTCCCCCCCAAAAAAACAGTCGTCTGACCGCGCACGCGTACTCAAGAGCCTGTGCTCCCGCGTGATTATACCCGCATGATTATAGCTGTGCCGTGGCCAACAGGAGTTCACAACTGGGTTGTCAAAAAGTTCATTCAGGCACGATTGATTGTTCAGGCCTGTCTAGGGGCTGCACATTGGCATAGGGATTCGCACCATTGCTTTGCCTTGGGCGATCCACGCCGTAGACGTAATGTGGGAGCCGGAGTACTTTTAAGTGATATTTCTTGTATGTTTTTCGCATATCTCACCTCAGGCAGACTCCGCAATACTACTCAAACCTTCTAGGTCCCTCTACTTCCCCTTCACAAGCTACACGCCACCATACGGCCCTATGAAACCCTACTCTAGTCGTTTAAGCTGCAGTCAGCTCCAGCAGCCATGGCATTTGCGGCCCCGCCCAAGGCCGCTGTGGGCAGGCCTGGCACTGACTCCTAGGATTTGGAAGGTGCTACAGAGTTCAAAGCGTCCATCCGATAGTCTCATACTGGTAGAAGGAAGGATTCTCAAATGGATCCCCGGAACCCAACCCGCCAAAACGGAGACGTGAGTCTTACATCTCAAACCCAAAACTCTTTATGTAGGAATCCTAAGTTCAGTTTCTCTGTTGATCGATCCTATGGCTTAGGTGGACCCCCCACCCTGCAAGAGTGACTATAAGGGTTAAAGGTAACCGAAATAGGGTCCTCTTATATTCTCAAATTACCACTATTACAAGGTGGGGGTTCCCCCCCACCTATGGCTTCTCTGGGAGCTGGAGGCTCGAGCGGGCCTCATCGAAGACTTCTCTCGAGACGCGGCTGCGACACTTGAGCCAGCTCCAGGCCGCAGGAAACGCAAAACATACGGGTTGGGGTCTAGTGAGTTTAGGGTTTAGGGCTTAGGGAGTTCAGGGTTTAAAGGTTTTGGGGAGTTTAGGGTTTAGGCATAAACAGGATTCTAGTAGATTAGGGTCTATATTGAGGTTCCCATTTATGGAAACTACCACATGTATGTGTAGGTACTTAAAATCCATGTATATACACGTTGCATGTATCTATGTATCTATATCAGTGTCTATATGTTTGTGGATATATACATTATATATGTATATATATATATGTCTGTGTGTGCACGTGTACATGTACATGTATATGTCGAGGCATACATGTACATATACGTTTGTGGCAGTCTCCCCAAATAAGGGGTGCAGGATGTGTTGTTGGTGCCTTTTTGTCAGGTGATCTGGGATTTGAGGTCTCGGGTTGAAGGTCCAGGGTTTAGCGTTTGAGCCAATATAATCCCCTACACACCCCCCTTTAAGGAGTTTAGACCCTAAACCCTAAACCCAATAGAATCCCCTACATGGTTTGGATTTGGGTTTGAGGATTTGGGGCGAGGTGTCCGGCTTAGTCAGTTTGTTCGAGCTGTGCTTTCGGTGTCGTTTGGAAATGGTCGTTTCATCGCCAGTATACAATCCTCAGAACCACGGCTACAAGTGCCATATCCGCTTTAGAAGGCTAAGTAGTACCGCTGCTGTTATTTGCATTCATATTGGCGCGCGGTATCACTAGTCATTGCTACCTCTGAAATCAACTTTGCATGAATGTCTTTTCATGTTTTTTGCTGTGATTCTTACGCGTAGTCTGATCATTAGTGGCAATCTTCAGTTCGATCTTAGTTCTAAGAATTGCTGCCACTTCTAGAGCGTTTGTCCCTCTGTGCCTTTCGGAAGCATGCGTGATGGGGATCATCATATCTAGGCAAAGTAAACAGTTGCAAGAGAGGAAGTCTTGCAGTATTCCACTGCTGGTCTTATCGGAACTTCATGAACAAACAAGACGACGCTGCTGTCCATCCAGCTGCGCAGTTCGCTATGCTCATCGCAGCTTGCCAGGCCTACGTCTCTGTGGAGGGGCTGCTAGGGACTGGGTCCTTGGGCGCAGTGCTTCTCTGCAAGGACCAAGCTAGAGCAATGTGGTCGTTTGCCTGAGTGCGCATAGCGGAATTGCCAGGACCGCACCGGAGAACATGTGGCCGTGAAAGCAATTTCGTTGAAGAAGGCGGGCCCCTGCCCCGCATGGATCATTCCTCTAGCTGTAAATGCAGCGGCCTGGAGAAGTGCTCTGGAGCTGGCTTTGGTTCTTTCTTTGCCTTCCTTCCATCCTGCCTTGTCAGAAGCTGCAATAGTACCTGCCATCAACAGCGACCATATGTACTAGCAGTGCTGCAGTTTCCGCTGTGGTGGTGCTTGTGGTGGTGCTGGCGCTGGCGCTGGTGGTGGCGGTGGCGGTGGCGGTGGTGGCCGTGGCCGCGGCGGCGGTATTAATTCTCCTCTCATCAGAATGAACAGTATCATCATCACTATAATAAGTACGCAACGCCAACGTCGATCCTGCTTTAGGCACATGCTGCTGGCACAGAAGAAAACAGACTCTGGCGGGAAGTGCAGGCTGGGACCTTCTGTGTTTGGCCAGATGAGGAATTCGGAGTTTTTTTGGGTCCACTCATTTTTGGAAGCTGTGTGCAACAGTTTCCGATGCCCGCACCTGCCCAGGTCATGAAAGAGGTGCAGCACCCAAATCTTCCTCGCCTCATAGATGTCGTGGCCTTTGCTGCTGGCAATGCATGAAAACTGCACGAGTACTGAACAAGCTTGCTGTCTATGTGGGTTGTGGTCCAACCCCGGAGCCTTAAAGCCTCTATACCGGATGCAATCCCGAATAATCCCTATATAGGCTCCATGTGGTCTCACCAGTACGAAGGTGGTGGCCAACTGGGAGAAGCTTCTGCCAGACGCGGCTGCACCTCCTCACCTTTGTTTGATTATGGAGCGGTGACCTGAGCGACCATGTCATACTGCTTAGAGTCTTTGAGGACATGGAGTGTAGAGGTCACATGGGGCAGGGTTCTGAGTGTGCTAAGGATTTATAGGGATATGCTGAAGTGCTTTCATGGCGTTTGCTGCCGGGGGAAAAGCAGATCAGATCTTACCTCATGTAGGAATCACGTGGGACTATTGGGATTTCAGATGGAGTGCACTTCTGCCTAACAGTAGTAAGATCCGAGTACAAGGGAAGCCATGACTTGTGAAATTCCAGACCAGATAGTCCAAATCCAATAGGATACTTTTTTTTTTTTTTTTTTGTAATATTCTGTGCCAGTGGGTATGTAATGGGGACTCACTTGTGCAAATGGCCGTTCTTGTATAACCCATAGCAAAAGGTTTGTTGAGAAATTCAGGATAACCATCCCCTCGTAATCCTTACACATGTCCATGGCGCCCGAATGGCACGGTTCTTGTGAGAAACCTTTAGCTCTTGACCCGAAATTACTAAGAACAGCTTCCCATACAATACTCGAGATTAATACCGCTTAATTTTGAAGGTCACCAAAAGGGTCTCCAAAAGAGCTACGTAGCAGGACGTATGGAAGCCAAAGCGCATGCCGCTTATCTTCCTTCCAGGGTATCCTGGGTATGTTGCGTCATGCTGTGCAGTCTTTGCGTGAACCCTGTCTTGGGCTATAGCCTGTAAACAATCCAGAATCCGAAGCCCTCAACTCCAGAATTATTTATCACATATAGATGTGGTATGTCGATAGTGTTTATATAAACAGAATATGTATATTATATGTATATTCTTACATATATATTTATTTATATTTATCCCTGTACATCCTTGTGTGACTGTACTAGGGGTGATCTGAGCTCAGGTTTGTGCAGAAGTCGGAGCCGCTCTCTGCTGCCCTGCGCCAGGGACCGATGCCACATAGAGCAGTGGCTCGCCTGACTGGATTTACCCAGACCCTCCAATCTAGTACTTTTTTGGTAGTCCTAATAAGAGTCCTACCCACCTAACCCAAAAAGGAATTAAATCCGAGGGTCCAGGTAGGTTTTTGGTGTAGGGTTTAGGTTTCGGGGCATGGATTTGGGGATTTACAGGGTTCAGGGTTTAAGGGTTTGGTATTTGGCGTTCGGGCTTTTGGGCAAGTTCAGGGGGGATTGACGTTTCAGGAGCTCGTTGCATGGGCAGGAGGGGAGCTGGATGCATTTTTTAGAAGGATATGAATATTTCTCAGTGAAGAAATACATGCTGAAACGTCATGGTCAAGAGAATGTCGAGAGGTGCCTGGCCAGAAATTTGAAAGGGAGCTCGTAGGTCCCGTCTTCTGGGGTATAGAACTGGCGGCCTAGAACGCTGCCCACACGGCACCGCGAGGCGCTGATCGTGGCACAGCTGGCATCTGCGCTGTGCAAGCACCAAACCCAGTGAAACATGCCTGTGCTTCTGCGAATTACTGGAGATCCGAAGTCAGCCGGCTTTGTTTCGTGTTGCATGGGTCTCTTGTGATGAATGACATGGGGGCGGCAAGGCCGCACCCTGCGAGCCGGGGTTCTCTTCTTTTTGATGTTGCCTCCATGTGAGACTGATGTAATTAGTACGACCGCGAGGCTGCACCGAGCTAGCATCGTTCACAGGGACGCCAGGTCCTTGGTGCTTTCGCGGTCAAAAAGTATAACTGAGTGAACAGAGGGTGAAACTTCTGCTGCTGCTATTCCTGGCATGCGGCTTGACTTTTGGATGCTCTTCACCTGACAACAATGCAAACTGCCAGATCTGCACACGTGTGTAGCCAGCAGATTTGCCCAGGTAGGGTGCGAGAACGTGCTCATCGGCGAGCGCGAGAAAGTAGCGCCCTGGCATTGAGTCCTTCAATGCTCGCCACTAAGATGAGAATTTCCCTCGTGCAATTCTGCCCGTGCAAGAACAAATGGACGAAGCTCTGAGCGCGACTCTGTGCTTTTTGCAGGTGCTGATCAATTTTGGCTGCGCTGAGTACCTGAACAGCAGGCAAGGACGAGGATCACATGTCGCTAGTCTTAAAGTTGTGCTGTATTTTTGTGGGCCCCAGTACAAAGAATCCTAGTATCTTGCGAGCAGATGTGAGACCCCTGATGCGAGATGTAGGAGTTTTCCAATCAAGGTTCCCAAGTACATTCTAAAAGATGAGGTAGTTCGGCAGACTCATGTAGGGGGTAATGGTCGTTTTGTGGGTACCCTGCGTATCAGGGTCCATGTTATAATGTGTATCTACAAAGACACCAACATTTCGACAACCCCCTATGAAGCAGTATGCAATCTGCAGCTCCATCAAACAGTTGCTACCCGGCCTGCCCCATGAGCTTCTTGCGTCAGCAGCCGGAAATGGAGGTTTCCCAAAACTAGGGGGTACCTTTTTGGGGTCTCTAAAAAAGGACTATTGTCCTTGGGTGTCTTTTTTGGGACAATATTGCTATGGCCTCAATAATGGAAAATCCAATGGGTGATAGCATGGACAGTTAAGTAGAAGCTGGGTTTACATAGTGGCTCACAGGTTTTAGGGTCAAAAAAATACGGGCACGGTTTTTGGGAAATCAAATACTGGGTATTATTACTAGAGTCTATATTAGGGCTCTCTCTTCATGGAAATCACCATACTGGAATTCAAGCAAGTGCATGTTGGGAGTGAACAGGAATTCTTTGCCGCATTTGTGGAACAGAGAGAGCCCTATCTTCAGACAGAATCCCAACAGACCCGTCGGAGTGGCTCATATTTCATGGGGAGTCCCCGTATGCCCCTATACGGGTAGCAAGCAACCGCCTTACCCTCAGTTCCCAATCTGAAGCCCTAAGCCCTATATACATCCCAGCCTAAATCCCCCACTCTACACCCTAAACCTCATGCCTGTCTATGATAACTGAGAGGCCGGCAGCAAACTCCAAGCTGAGCATCCCATACACGTCGCCAGAGGCTGCAGCAGGCCGTCGCCTGGGGGGCCCTCCAAATTGCGCATTGTTGTTGGGACTGTTGTAGAAGCAATATTTATAGTTTTTGGATAGGTGGGGAGACCTTGCCAACTTGACGTCAAACAGGGAGTGGCGAAGAGTTCACTTGTAAACTACAGTTTGACAGAGCTCCTGCCGCCAGCGCTTTGGACTTATGTAGCAGCTCCGCTGCCATGACCATGGCTATACGCTATCAAATTGAAGTCTGTGCTTTGAGGGTGTGCCGCACTGCGGCTCCTTTGGTCGAAGCTGAAATTCTGAACGCAGGGCAAGGTTAAGTGAGGCTTACATCCCAGCAGGGGCGACTGAATCCTGCAGCCGGAGTGCTGGCCATAGAAGCGGAACGAGGGGGTGAAGCCCAAGATCTACCGCATCAGATTCCGGAATCAGAATTGTGCAGGTATGCCCCAGCAAACTGGTGATGATGCTTGGGATCGGCCCTCAGCTGTGATATGTGGCAGTTCCCCAAACTGATGCCCAGATAGTCCTGAAGGGCATTTTAGATCTCCATGAAAAGTTAGGCGCCCTGCCGGTACTGCATGTCCAAAGACTCCTGTATCATTTGCTCGTGCTGAAGTGTTGAGCTGACCTCTGGGAGCTGCGTAGAAGGTATAGAAATGTATAGAAAAGGTAACTATGCAGGACCATACACAGGACAGAAGAGACATGAACAAAGCCCGCCTGCTGCTGCTGCTGCTGCTGCTGCTGCAGCTGCATGGTCTTTGCAGGGGCTTGGCCTCTTGCTTACGGAGATCGTCACAGGCCACTGCTTACCAGAGCATCTGCAGTTCGCGGGGCTGCTAGGATGTCTCCCTCAGGCTGTTCTTCGCAGATTGCAAGATTCCTAACATGGCAACTCTGACTGACATCAGTATGCAGGGCGCTTTATCATAGACCGGCTTGGTCGATCTGATGTGCCAGGGTCCCAGAGCTGGCGACCCTAGGCAGGGCTTAAGGGTTAGTAGGGGAATCGGGGATCTGGAGAGATTTCGGGAGGTCATTATGTGATCCAATTAAATTCAAACTGAACTCGAACTTCCGTCCGCCAAAAAAACACCAAGTGGATCTTGAACTGAACTGGAATTCCAACTGAACCCGGTTGAACAACGAATTGAGTTCGAGCTCAGCCCATTCACGGTCGAAACTCGAAGCGAACTCGAGCCACACCCAAGCCGAACTCGAACTGAAACCGAACTAATTTCGCACTGCGTTGGAGTTGTTCGAACTCAAACTCCGCTGGCCCTCGCCCTCCAACCTCAAAATGAACTCGAACTTCCCCCCACTGAAAAGCGGATCTCGAACCGAATTCCACCTCAACTGCAAGTCGAACTGACCCGAACTCGGACCTGCTTGAGCAATTTGAGCACAAATGGAACTAGAAATGAAATCGAATATAATCGAATTCAATTTGAGCGGAGCCCACGCAACAAAACTCCGACAGAACTCGAACTGAACTTGAACTGTACTCGAACTGCGTGGAAACTCGCACCGAACTCACGCTTTGCTCCCCCTGGCCGACCGAACTCGCACTGGACTTGTCTCAAGACTTGTCCTGAACTCGACCTTCCCTCCCACCCCTCGAAAAATCGAATTGCTGCGGTATCCAAATCGAACTCGAACTCGAAGCCCTCCCCACCTGAAAACAACAAGTGAACGACTTGAATTCGAACGGAGCGCATTTGAACTGAACTCGAACCGCGCTCGACCCCAACTCGGGCTGGAATCGAACTCATGTGGAACTGCGTCGGAATTCGAACCGAGCTCGAACTCCGAACCCCGCCGACGAAGCAAAGTCGCAGATTTTTTCTCCCCCCACCAAGAAAGTGGAGCTGTGATTGAACCTCGACTAGCATTAGACTCGGCCTGGACCATGAATCCGAACTCGAATCAAACTTGAAGCCGGATTGGATTCGAAGTCGACGCAAATTGACCTCCGGGTAGGAAATGGCAGTCATTATCAAAACAGCTGCGTCTACTGTGGATAGCCGTACCAGGAGGTAATATTGGCAATGGTATTAGGACTGCGAGGAAAAGCATGTACCATAGTCAGCAATACTACTGCTGCCCTGGTCATGCTCGTAACAAGAGTCGTTATCATCATATTGAAGCCACAATGGAGATATCAGCAAGACTTTGCAAGTGTTTCAGTTCAGTCATTAAAGCGGTTGGTCTCCGTCGCCATAGTTTTGCTGCTATGCCGTTTCCGGGAAACCTTGGAGTTACAAGTGTCGCCGGATTCTTTCTTGGGATCCTGACGCTCTGGAGCGTTTCTGCTAGCCTGGCATTGCAACGTATCTGCGGTGGACACCCGTGAAATCCCGCTCCAGTCTGGCACTTATACAATCCCATGTTTCCTCGACATTTCCTGCCCCGTGTGATCTCTTTTGATGCCAAGCTTCGTGAAACCAAATTGGGGAGTTTTTCAGTTACGGCTCAGGATCAGAGTTTCAAGAGTCAGGTATTCACAGGGGCTACAAGTCAGAGCTTCAGCAAGAGGGTAGTACGTCATTGGTCTCTTCAGCGTGACCAGCATCATTCTGGCAGGCAATCTTATGATTTTAGCTTTCCCCAACCCAAGACTTTGCCACTCTCGGCTCATTGGTGCAGAATGTGCTCCAGCAGAACGTGACGCACTTTTTTGCCTTGTGCGAAACTTCTTCGCCAAAATGCACCGAATTCCTGTGCTGCGTGGAGAAACTCTGATGGGGAAAGCTCGGGAGCAGCGGTACAAGGTGTGTTCAAACTTTGCCGGCCTGGTCGTGGCCGTGCAGCTGTGCACGGTACAATGTTGGTCCAATGCGATTTTGGAATCCCACAAGTGTTTTTCATCCTTGATCGCAAGCAAACTTCCATGCGCTTCTCGAGGCCTATCCACGTACAGCGGCCTACGCTGACTGCGGCCATCCAGGAAGCTGCCAGCTGCGCACAGCCCTGAGGGAAATTCAGATGTTACAATGTAAACTTTTGCGTGCACCCCGTACTCGGCAGGCGGATCATCTTCCGCTGTAGAGCCAAGCTTCATCTTGAAGGTTTTACCATCCAATACGGTCACATGTTACCTACTAATCGCTAAATATGAAAAGGTTGCCAGTGTGTTCAGGAAGAGGGAGGACTAGTTCGTCATCTTGGTAGTAGTGGTAGTTAATGTAGTATAGCAGTAGCAGCAGCAGTTGTTGTCGTTTTTGTCGGCGTTGGCGTCGGCGTCGTCGTTGTTCTTGTTCTAGCCGACATCGCAGTAGTAGTCGTCGTCCTCCTCCTAGTAAGAAAAAGTAGCAGAAGTAGTAGTAGTAGTAGTAGTAGCAGCAGCAGCAGCCGCAGCAGCAGGAGGCACGCATCGGATATCCGCCGGTGGTTTAATCCAGCATTTGTTGACTGCAAATGGTGTTTTCGCTGTGGTAATTCCTCAATTTTGCAGATCTGCTTCGAGACGTTGCCAGGGCCAAAACGTCTGTTTTGGCACAAGGCGTGCTTTTTCGCGGTTAGCTATGGGAATTTGATGATGTTATGAATTTTGCATCTTCGCTGTGGAAACTCACTGATGTTTATGCATTTTCGGCTTTTCAGTATTTCGCTCAGTTTCATGTGTTGAGCTTTTTCGCTGCATGAATTCAAGCATCTTCATTTTTTGACAGCATCAATCTCATTGCATCCGGATAGGCAAGATGTTAACATCCATGCTACCGCTGCATCCAGTTCCTTGCATCCGGATCAGCAAGATGTTAACATCCACGTTACCACTGCATCCGACGGTGGCGGCGGCGGCGGTGGTGGTGATGGTGAACAGTGGTTTAAGCATACATTAATCATATCAGTGAATGGATATGATGGAGATCACAATTTTTGTCCCTTGTTCACTGATTGTTAGGGCGCATTGAGAGAGATGCCGTTACCTTGTGACCAACTACACTGACAAAACCACTTCAGGAACACCCCTGCAGCAGCTCAAGTCTTCAGGCGATCCTTCTTGCAAGGCTTCTGAAACCTCCAAACCTGATCCCAAACCTTGAACTCCAAGACACCCTGCA